CCTTCAGGTTCGGCAGCTTCCTGCTTAAAACAAAGCGTCTTTGTAAGGAGCTTACTCAGGAGTTGAAATCCACCAAGTGAATGAGAGGAAGAGTGGGAAGCAGAGGAGAGAAGTAAAGTAGGAAGAGAGGGACAGGAGAGAGGGCAGGGCCGGAAGACGAGGAGAATAAGGAGGAGTGGAAAGGGGAGAGAGGAGAAGGAGAAAGGAAGGGGAAGTAGAGTAGAAAAGGATGATGGAGGGAAGAAAGGAGGTAGGGAGGGGGAGGAGAGAGGAAGAAAGTGTTGGATAAGGCACAAATATGGTGAATGGAGAGCAGAAGAGCCAATATTTGTTTTTTGGGAGCTGATGGTAAGATGAATTGATGTAAATATTTAATAATACAACACGATACTGGCTATGTAATAGTATACATGTAATTATATGTTATGAAAATGGAAAATAAAAAAAATCTGAATAAAAAAAGACTACAGGAAAGGTATATTAAAAAAGGAAAATATTGTATATATTTGTAAATATATGTTGAAATTATGTACATATATGAATATGTAGAATAATGATGTATGATGCATAAAGAAAGTTGAAATTGATATACTGTAAATCAGTGGTGGGTTCCTACCGGTTCGGACCAGTTCAGACCAGTTCGGCCAAACTGGTAGTGGTTTGGCGGCCTGGGTTGGTGGAAACGGCAGTGACCCAGGCCTACCACTGAACTGGTTCTATAGGCCATCTTGTTTTTCAGTTCTGCGCATGTGCAGAACAATTTTAATTGCACTGCACATGCGCACAGAGCGCACACACAAGAGAACCGGCAGTAGTGCCTGCCGGAACCCACCCCTGATGAGTGATAGTAATACTGAAATGCTGTTAAGAGTGGAAATGTGGTGTTAAAGTTGAAATATGTTCAATAAAAATATTTTTTAAAAAGGCAGAATATTATATTTCCCTAGATGAGAAATTGAGAAACATGCCTTTTTTAAAGACAGGAAGCAGACTCAGTCTTTTTTAATAGCCCCCAGCAGATATTTTGTGCCCATTTAGAAAGATTGGGTCAACCTATTCAGAAACCAGCCCCAGTTTCCCTGCCCCAAGCAGAAACTAAGGAGGCCAGCTTTTAGAAATGCAGATTTGGTAATCCATTCAGAAAGACTGGGTCAAGACAGAAACTCAGATAAGCAACAAACAAAAGGCTGACAAACTTAGCTCAGACAAGCACCTAGGATTTGCATTTCCTCTTTTGCCTATAGATCCAGCTATAACCACTACATAACCCCATACAACAGCCAATGGAATACATGTTCTTGCACAGGAAGAGGAAGCTCAAGTGCAAAGCCCAAGAGAAGGTATAAGCCCCCCCCTCTCAAGTCCATTTTATCAGCTGCCCAGAACCACAAACCCATGTGGTTCTGCTTCATCAATAAATCATCTTTCCAATCAGCCTCCCTGTTTCCAGTGTCTTTCTCCCAGCTTGGAACTGAACCAGATGGATATTTCTTCCCACAAGGGGATCATGTGACCCTGGGGCACTGTGACTGTCATTGCCAAGCATCCAAATTATGATCATGTAATCATGGGGATGCTGCAACAGTTGTAAATGTGAAAAACGGTTATAAGTCACTTTTTTCAGTTCCGTTGTAACTTTGAACAGCTGCAAGGTCAGCACAGGGGAATGGGGCTCTGCACCCCCGCGCCAAATTCCTCTTCATTGGAGGCCTCCCCAAGGGGCTAAAGTCACCCTGTAGGGGTGACTAATAAGGAGGGGCTCCCTGTGGGTTGCGGAGAGCGGCGGCTCTCCAGCTGAACCCAGGGTTTCTTCTATACCGAAGACGAAGATGAGGCCATGAAGCAGGGGCTGCCAAAGAAACCAAGATTGTGCTGGAGCGGTGAGAGTGGACAATGATTGGAACTGGGTAAGGCGAATCTTAACTTCTGCATAGGATAGACCCGTAAAGAAAATTAATCTGGGAAAAGAGGCTCTCTGGAATATTTTTGAGTGATTGGGAAGAGGTGGAGAAAAATTGCACCCTAACAGGAAATAAGTAAAATACTTTAAAAGATTTAAAATATGAAAAGACTGGAGGTATAAACTTTATCAGTATGATTCAGATTAGGCACTTGAAAATGCTGAACAGCTGACTGTCTATCGGATATTTTGCTTGAATTAATTTGAAATATATAATTGGTGGAATAGCTTTAAAGTGGCTTTTTGATGTTGATTTTTAAGCTGAGACACCAAGCTGAATAGTTATATACAGTAGTATGTCACACTCCTAGAACAATAAAACAGCCTTGGAAATTTCTGACAAGAGGAGAACAATACTTGGAGGTCTATTGTATTATTTAATGTTCTACACCAACCTACTTTATGGTTACTAGAGGTTCAACCTTGAAAACCTGGAAGATGTTTTATGTTTTTATGTTCCAATGTTTTATGGAATCACTGAATACTGGAACTAACTAGCAACCCAAAGAGTGGATCTAAAAGACAACTTGGAAAAACCTCTGGACTGTATAAATGGAACCTATTGACTAATAGTGGGATAAAGAACCATAAGTATTGTATCTTCTGACGAATGATGATAAGATTTTGGAATCTGCTGGTTTCAGGAAGTCAAAAAGAATAAAATTTAGAGCGGTGATAGACTATTGATAGCACTGAGTATTATTTGGACTCTTTAAGACAAGGCAAGATGGACCTTCAGGAAGAATCGGGAGTACTCCAAAAAAGACTATGTTGTTACTGTAAAACATCTATGATACTATGATGGGGAACTTCAGGGAGATAAAGGACTTATTACATGAAATAATAGCCTGAAAATGTGCAACAAGGAATGATGAATCATGATAATAAAATCCAGGAAACAGGGGAGATAACCGGAAGCTTAGAGGACAAGATAGAACAGAACACACAACAAAAAGAACAAGGAGATAAGAAAGAGGAGACAATAAAGCGAGGTGAAATAAAATTGGGAGAACATATATTAGGTGGTAGAAAAATGGAAGTCAATAAATTGAAAAACATTTCTGGAAAAAAGACAGAGGATTTGGCAGATCTGTGGATGGACTGGCAGCAAAAAACAGCAGAGATGGAAATAATGGTTGGGTTGAAAATGAAAGATGTAGATGAGGACCCAAGCAGGGGTGGGTTGCTG